GATCACTGGGACTGCCTCCTGCTCTCTGAAGAAGCCCCAGACCCCACTCCCATCACGCACAGGATTGAGAGTCAGTTCAGAAACATGGCAGAGACTTTTCAACATGGGTAAAAGTCGGGGCTATGTCTGACACTCCCTGGGAGACCCGTCTCACTGTGGGTCCACTGTGAGCCGTGTACAGGCTGCTCACCCTGAGCCCTCCATGCCTCTTCCATGGCAATTCTCCTGCATGGTTTTGAAACAAACCCTTTGGTGCTGTCATCCACCCCCTTTATTTATTTATTTTTTATTATTTTTTTAAATTTTTCTTAGTGAAACACCATGAGGTACAGTTGTCGACTTACAAATTTTTGTGCTTGGATTTCGGTCATACCATGATCAAATACCCATCCCTCCACCAGTGCCCATTTTCCACCACCAGGATAATATCCCTTCCCCCCCATTCCCCTCATCCCCCCCTGACACTGTGGCAGGGCATTTCCTTTTGTTTTCTCTCTCCTTTTGGGTGTTGTGATCAGCAAAAGAGGCATTGAGTGGCAAACATGTTCAGTCCAGTCTACTTTCAACCTGCATCTCCCCTCCTGGGAGGATCCTCCAAACACCCTCCATTTGGTGCTCCCTTCTCTATCTGAACTGTCCTTTCCCCTAGAATACCCGGCTGGCCTCTTAGCTATGGAGTAATCCTCCTGGCATCCACCCCCTTTAGACACTATCAAGGATAGCTCACAGTTTTTCAAAAGCCACATTGATTCTTTTAAAGACAAACTAATGTACTATTGCAAGCATGAAAACACTGGGTAGGCCATGCCTCATTATTATCCAATATCCAGTCGGCGTGCTTCTTGTCAATGGTCTTAATGACATTGTGATTTTATTTACAGTTGCTTGTGACATGGGCTCCAAATGAGGTCCCCGGATGCAACGTGTTGAGATACCTGTCAGTTGCTTTTTATTGGTGAAGTCCCTCTCCTTGCTCTTTCCTTTGCAATTTATTTCTCAAAGAAAGTTTCCCTGTGGTAAGATGCTAACTGCACCCATGTGGGGTCCTGTGCTACACTTGGTGACCTCGTATCATGGAAGTGGAACCTAAAATCCTACTGAGACGTAGGTTGGATTTTCTTGGAGGAGGATTCCCATATTCCCATGTGGTCATTGTTCTCCAGTTTGGAAGCACAGACTACCTGGCTCTCCCTTCCTTTGGATGGAAGCTGGATGGTTTGTTACTTTTTCCATTCCTTAGGTGACCCTCAATAGTGATATTCTCATCTTTCTTTGACTGATGGGAATGCATTCATAGAGAGGAACTTCCTCTCCTTGGATATTCACTTTCTATACAGGAAAGGTGTGATGAATACTCATGATTTCTCTTTAGTATCATTGTTCTAAATAACCAGCTGTTTGGGAACATTCTCCAGTGATAATCAGTTTGGCCTTGTTTCATTCCACTTTGGAACTTGTGACTTTAATGTGCTCCCATTTATGGATATCACTGTTCCACTTCTCGGCACTTTTGAAGAATGTGAATAACCGTGGGTAGTTCTTTGCTCTCTGGAGGATGAGACGGCCCAGACTCACTCTGATGTGTCCTTCTTTAGGTCACGTCATTGGAAAAGAGTGTCCAACACGAAAAGGAGAGGTCAAACGAGAAACCCAGAGGAAGCAACGATAATGCAGAAAACCACAGAAACCTTCAAAAATACCCGGGGGAGATTGCTAGAAGATAAAGCAAAGGAAATTTCCCAGGGGGTAATAGAGGAATGAAAAGGAAAACAGATGGAAAAAAGAATCACACTTAGGCTCAACATTCAGCCCAGAAAAAAACAAATAAAAGAAATTGCATAAAAAGAACTCCATTTCCCTCTCCCCCTAGTTATCACATGATCTGAAACTCCTAGAAAACCAATGGACAAAATATAGCACACTACAAAATGTCATGATGTCCCAGGACACAAGAAATAAAGCCAAAATCTGCTAAACTCTTATGTACAAATAAACCACTTGGGGAAAGCTTTGGTCCTTCCAACATTAACCAGGGAAATATAACAGAGATGATTCGGCTTCCGTTTAAGAGATAGTCAACTCTAAACTCTCCTGCCCCCGGCACCTGGCTGTCCTTGCCGGGGCCCCTTGGAGGGGAGCGGGTTGAGTTTTCCTCCCCACCCCGACAGGGCTCCGGCAGCCGAAGACCTCCAGAACCAGCCACCATCATGCTGAGACCACTCTTCACACGCATGAAGGTACTGGCAGAGGAACAAAGGCATGCGGGTCCCGGAACTGAGATCTCCAAGCCTGCTCGGATCAGGGCTTAGCATCCTCCACCCAGATCCTCCATATTACAGTAGGCAGGGGTCGCACCCACCAACAGGCCCCCTGGCGCCATGTAATCCCATCAATGGCCAAGACCCAGAGACTATAAAACCCAGCTCCCGGAAGAGAACAGCGCAGAGTCTCCTGCCCCCACGCCTGGCTGTCCTTGCCGGGGGTCCTTGGAGGGGAGCGGAAGCGCGACATCTTATTATCTCATTCTTACTTTGGACAACCTGGCAGGCTACCGAATGTAACCTGCCCACACGGCAGAATCTGGCAAACTCCCTGTGGCGTACCCAATATGCCAAATACCAGTAACAATGATGGGTCTCATTCTCCTAACCCTGAAAGACCCTTGAATATGGCACTTTTTAAAAAAATTCTCTGGCCTAGGATGAAGGAGACGTTACTGGGGCCTGCTCGAGGCAATCGACGAATAACAGGATGGTTGTGATCGTGATCGTGATCAATTCTAAACAGGGGAAAAAACTAGGGACAATACACAAAAATTCCCAGTCATCAGACCCCTTTTTTCAAAGCAGAGGAAGCCATCCCAAGGAGACGGAAAACAAAGGAATTGTCTAAACTTCCTAGCCTGAGAGCATTCTCTGGCCCTGAAACTGAATTTAAGGAGATTAAGTTCAGGGTTAAGGAGATTAAGTAAGAGTGTGGTGAGACAAGGCAGCTGGGGGTCACCAGGCAGAGGCCTGGTGGGGATCTTATCATAGCAGCTTCATAGTCTGGGAGCCCCTCTAGGCCCAGCCACGCCCTGACCCACACCCTCACGAGGCTGGGCAGAGAAACCCACGCGTGAGATTCAGCAGGAACAGAGCCTGGAACTCACGCAGGGCTGGGAGCTGTTCCTGTCTCCATCAGCGGGAAGCAGTCTCCCAGGCTGGAAGACCTCAGGAATTAGATTATTCAGGAGGATAAAATCTTCCTCTCAGCAGAAAATAATCAGACCTGAGTGAATGTTCCTCAGATCTTGTGGATCCAAAGTTAAAATCAATAACCAAATTAATCAAACTCCCTACACGAGGTGGTAGTGTGGAGCTAGGAGGTAGACATAACTTAAAGACGTACGCTGTAAACCAAAAGTCATTAATGAGTATAAAAAAATGGAGTTAGTTAGACATCAAAGAGTATATCAAATGGAATCACAGGACTCTCTTCCCTCTCTAAACAAAAAAGGCAGAAAAAAGATGAAAAGGTTGGGACAAACAGCAAACAAATAGCATACTGGCTAGATTAAACTTACCTCTATCAATACATATATTGAATACAGATGACCTAAATATCTTAATTAAAAGGCAAGTGTAATCATAAAAAGGTATGGTCCACCAATATATGTTGTCAACAAGAAATCCAGTGTAACCAGGAAGACATAAAGGTAAAAGGTAAAGGTAAAGGCCCTCCCGTTGATCGTCGATTTGCTCGAGCGGGCCCAGTAACGTCTCCATTGGAGACTTTGTTGTTACTGTGTCTGGCATATGGAATACTCTCGGTAGCTTGCCGGGCTCTCCCCAGGAAGACATAACTCAGTTAAAAAGAAAAGACTGAAAGAATATACACTGTCCCCAAACTACAGCCTCCAACAAAGCTGAACTTGTTCATATTAATCAGACAAGTAAATTTAAGAGAAAATTGATGACTTCAGATAAATAAAGCACTTTTTTATTTGACTTTTATTTAATTTCTTTAAAAATTTTTTTTATTGTTGAATCACTGTGAGATAGATTTTTTTACAAAGCGGTTCATAATTTGGTTTCAGTTAGACAGTATTTCAACATCCATCCCTTCACAGTGTAAATTTCCCAGCACCCGTGTTCCCAGGTTCCCTCCCATCATCTTCCACCACCCCCCTCCCCAGCCTGCCTCTATGGCAGGCATTTTCCTTCTCTCTCAAGAAAGCATTTTCTTAATAATAAGGGAACCAGTGAATGAATAAGACACATTTGCATATCTTCAAAATACATGACTTTTAAAATACTAAAGGGTGAAATAGACAAATTCACAACTTTAATCTAGAGTTCAGGACCATCTTTCAATGTATGGAACAAGGAGACAGAAAATCTCTAAGAAGAAATAATCCCAATAATATGACTAACTCATTTAATCAACACGTTTAACAGATGTGGATGGACCATTCGCACCCAACAGCAATGCCTTTTCAATGCCTCTCTGAGTCCTTCACGTACCAAATAGGAAGTGTAATAGGAAGTAAATCAATGCAGATGACCAGAAATGACCATCAGTCTAGGTCAGGAACTGTGCCTCAAGACATTGGAAAGAATGGAAGTCCTGTCAAAAATGCTCTTGAACTATCCTAGAGTAAGATAAGAAATCAAGCATACCAGAAATTTTGGGAAAATAAGAAATAAGTGGGAGTGAAATAACACAAACTTCACATTTTATTCACCTTTTTAGAGGAAGCTGAAAGTAAAATCAGGTAGTGAAAAAGGAAAGGGGGCAAACCTGAACTTGGGGCAGAGGGAATCTGACAAGAGACAATCAAAGGGAAGTCATAGGAGGAGCCAGTGAATGTGTTTGGAATTAGGAAAGGGGAGGAAGGACTGTGCTGAGAAGCACTTACATCAGAAGGAACAGCCATGAGACATTAGGGGTCTGGTTAGACATTGGCACACAATAGACGGAGGTTTGAAATATGTAGGAATATGTTTACAGATGGCGCGCGTCCCTGGGTGGGCTCGAACCACCAACCTTTTGGTTAACAGCCGAACGCGCTAACCGATTGCGCCACAGAGTATTCGATATGCCAAACACAGTAACAACAAAGTCTCCAGTGGAGACGTTACTGGGCCCGCTCGAGCAAATCGACGATCAACGGGAGGGCCTTTACCTTTACCTTTACCTTTATGTTTACAGATAATTTCCAAGTAAAAGGATGCAAATAGGTAGTACCAATACAATAAAAATTGTGCAAAAGGCTTAATTCTGTATTTCTCTTTGGCTATGCAGAACAAACTATTTTACAGGATCTTAATAATGATGATCACTAATATTATTAAAATATGTGCTCATGACATTTGGTTGGAGTGTAAAAGAATTTAATAGATATCAGAGCAGTGGTACAGGTTGCACTTGGGGGCAAATCAGGAGTCAGGAGGACTCCATCTTTAAATAATGGCCCCAAATCTCAAAAGGTTTCTAAAATGTGAAGTGTTGCTTTGGGAAGGTACACTTGAAAACGGGGACCGGAAGGAGCCATCGGGGGTTGGGTATTTTCCATTCTAAGCTTGCCTTAGTCTTCAACTAGGCAAACATTTATTCTGACTTTTTTTGTTTTTGAGATTTGGCCATAAGTTTTCTTTTCTTTTTTTTTTTTTTTGGTTTCGACATTTTTGATGAAATATTTTTGAACAAGTAGATAGCAGAACAAGTAGATAAACAGCCGTTATCCTCATCCTCTCTCCTTGAACTGAGGATAAAGAAGAGCAAACAGTCCATTTCTCTCTCTTTTTGGGTTTTTGGGCCACACCTGGCAGTGCTCAGGGCTAATTCCTGTTCTGAACTCAGGGACCACACCTGGTGACGTTTGCAGGGACAATATGGGATGCTAGGGTTCTGGCCCCCATTCGTTGCATGAATGGAAGTGCCTTACTGACTGCCTCCCTAGCTCTCAGGTCCAACAGTTTGTTTCTTAAAGTCACCCACTAGTATGGGAGCGGTATGGGCTAGGTGTGAATCTGAGACACAACTCTGTAGTATTTCACCAGGTTTACTAACTGGACTGCAAGATTCCAAGGACAGGAACATGTAAAAATCACTTTTTAGGGTTGGAGAGGTGGGATCGGGGTAAAGGAGCTTTCCTTGTATGCGGTGGACTCCAGTTTGAATCACTGGCATGGCATATGGTATCCTGAGTACGGCTAGGAGAGCTCCTTGAGCACAGAGCCAGAAGGAAGCCAGATATTGCCCCAGCATATATGCATACATACGTGAATGTACACACACACACACACACACACACACACACACACACACCAATTTTCAAAGAGGCCTGATTGACATTGTAATGGAGAAGGATGGATTAGAAGACACCAAAAGGCTCAGTCATGAGCATAATCTGTGAAAACCATCTTTTAAAATACAAAAATGACCCCCCCCCCCAAATCCACAGGGAGCTAAATACCCTGACTTTAAATAAGGTGGAACCATGTTGGCCATTTTTCTCTTTTGTCTCTTTCGTGTCAGACCCCAACAAGCTGGTGCGTAGTTTCCCTTTGAGACATTAAGTGCTCTAGACTCAGGGGAGAACAATGCTGGTGTTCTTCGGGGTCCTTTACTCAGAATAAGTGTCATCATCAGGGAGGGTTTATCTGTAACACACTGTACAGACGTGAGGGGATTCACCCGGCCTCTGTGGTACTTGAGGACTTACTCAGCCATCCATTCTGCTCAAAGGCAGATATGGTCTCAGGGACCTCCTCGAGGAGCCATGGATGTGGTTGTCTTGTCTATGTCAACGTCTTAGAAAACACTCTCCTGTGTGGGGGCCACAGCTGGCAGTGCTCAGGGCTTACTGTGGCTCTCTGCTCAGCAATCATTTCTGGTCAGGCTTGGGGAACCCTATCGATACCGAGGATCAAACCTGCCATTGGGTCTATATAGAAAGTTTGTTCCATACCTGGTGGTGTCAAGACTCATCCTGGTGACACCCAGGGGACTGTTTGGTGGCAGGGATCAGCCTGGGGCCTCCTGCGTCAAGGCTTGTGCTTGGAACATGGAAACCACCTGTTCTGCAGGTAACTGTCTTCATGTCACTAACCATGTGTCCCTTTGCCTTTGGAATAGCAAAACTTTGAACCAGAATTTGGGAGCTGGGGAGGACCCTGAGGCACAAGGACTGTAACCTCTCGGCAAGCCCCTTTCTCGAAGCCCCCCATTTCTCTCCAGGTCCCTTTGGCTAAGGGCTCTAGAACAACCTGCATTCCGAGAGGGGAAGGAAAGGGTCAGCCCGCAGGTCACAGGATATTCATCTCCTTTACAACGCCATTAGTCCGGGGTCACGGTCTATGGTCTTTCATCATCCTGACCTTTTCACCTGCCTGTTTACTCTGAGTCCAACCTCAGAATTGAAGTCCCGGCAAAAACGGTGCTTTTTGGCTCTTTAGCCCGGGCTCAGTGGAAGCTCTTGTGATTAGCTGTCAGCTATTTAAAAGAAATAGAGTAGCTGAGGGAGGTAGGCGGCTTAACCTGTGGATATAAGGAAAGGGCCTTTTTGGGGGAGGTATAGTGATGAGGAAGGAAAGACCATGGCGTATTAAGATGTTTATTATCATTTTATATGCAAATCTAAATATATATTTATAAAATGGACACAGCTACACACACACACACACACACACACACACATTCAGGGCTGTATTTGTGGAGTCCCAATTGAAATATTGTCTATGTGAAACCTCATTTAATCCTCTCTGTGATCCTATGACACACATACTTCTAGCTTACAGACAGGGCAAAGATTATAGGAAAATCAGCCGATAATTTTTCAAGGTCCCAAGCAGCCGCCAAACTGGTCTTAAACCCAGGCAGTCTTGAAGCCAGTCTCGGTGCTGAGCTGTCTTGTACAAAGGACCAATAGAGTTACTGGGTGAATTATCTTGCAGCCTTTCCAACGGGCTAAGTCCATGTAGCAACACGAAGATGGACTGCATTTGGGGACCCTATGAGGGAAGCTGTATAAATAGAGGGTAGAGGGGGGTGTGGGAGATGTTCCAGAAAACCTGGCTGAGAACCAAGGTCTCCAGATGGTCAGAAGAGGAAAAGTCACATAACTCGACCACCACCAGGAAGCCCCCAGAGCTTGAATATGAATCAGTGTTCCATATTCTCTTCCTAGTCAGTTCTAGCCCCCATACTTGGCTTTGTCCCTCAATGGTGCCTTTTAAACTTATGGAAACTTCTCTTATTGACGCCTGGGCTTCTCCTCTATTTGGTGCTCAGATTCCAGATTAACTCACCTGGACTGGTCAACACTTAATTGCTCCCCAGGCTCAGCCCATGGGGTGGGGGCTAGTCCTTGACCTTCACCAACAATAGTCACAGCAGTGAAGGTTATGGTGATCATTTTCTGTCATCAGAAAGTTTCCTCTTTTTTTCAAGGAAAAAAGTATTCAATTTAGTTGTAAGAATGACTTTGTTGCATGGATTCAGATTTTTTTAACAAGTTAACGGGCCACCAAATTAATGGTGTTATTCATACCTATCATGAGCATAATTAACATAAAATTGAAAAGTGATTCTACATGCTATAGAAAGACTGTTCCTATCATCATAAAGAGGGTGATATTTGGGGTGGCAAGTTGACTTGGAAGAAAAAGGAAATGGTGACTCCTAAACAGTAAGTAACTAAAAAGTAAAGGCCCTCCCGTTGATGGTCGATTTGCTTGAGCGGGCCCAGTAACGTCTCCATTGGAGACTTTGTTGTTACTGTGTCTGGCATATCGAATACTAGGCATTTCCGCTGAGTCTGGAGACGTTACTGGGCCCACTCCTAAACAGAGTTAATGATAAATCTATATAAGATTTTGCCATCTGTATAAGAAATAAGATAATAAGATCTTATTATCTTATTTTTCTTACTTTGGACAAACTGGCAGGCTACTGAATGTAACCTGCCCACACGGCAGAGTCTGGCAAACTCCCCGTGGCGTACCCAATGTACCAAATACCAGTAACAATGATGGGTCTCATTCTCCTGACCCTGAAAGATCCTTGAATATGGCACTTTTTAAAAATCTCAGGGCTAGGAAGAAGGAGACGTTACTGGGGCCTGCTCGAGGCAATCGACGAACAACAGGATGGTTGTGATTGTGATTGCGATTGTATAAGAAATATCCACGAAGCACATGCCAGGGACCAGCTATGAGTTTGGGGCTGGGCTCTGAGCATAGGTGTCTCACCTCCTACAGAGACTTTTTCTCAACATAGAGCCTTCTTTTTTTCTCTCTCCTTCTTTCTTTTAATGCATCACCATGGGGTACAGCTACAGACTTACAAACTTTCATGATTGTGCTTCAGTCAAACAACGTTCGAGTACCCATCCCTCCTCAAGTGCCCATTCTTCAATACCAAAGTTCCCAGTATCCCAGTATCCCTCCCCCAACTCTCACCCCCCTCCCACCTCTGTGGAAGGCAAATTCCCTCTTACTCTCTCTCTCCTTTGGGGAGTTATGGTTTGCAGTATAGGTAGTAAGCAGCCATCACGTTTGGTCCATAGTCTACTTCGTCTCGCATCTGCCATCCCAAGTGATCCCTCAAGCCATCACTTACTTAGAGATCCCTTCTCCATCCCAGCTGCCATTTCCCCCAGCACATGAGATAGGCTTCCAACCATGGAGCAATCTTCCTGGCCCTTGTCTCTATTGTCCTTAGGTGTTAGTTTTCCACTACGTTACTTTATATCCCACAATTGAGTGCAGTCTTTCTATGTCTGTCTCTCTCTTTCTGACTCATTTCACTTTAGCATGATTCTCTCCATGTTGATCCATTTATATGCAGATTTTATGATTTTATCTTTTCTAACAGCTGCATAGTATTCCATTGTGTAGATATAACGAAGTTTCTTTAACCAGTCGTCTGTTCTCGGGCACTTTGTTTTTTCCCAGATTCTGGCTGTTGTAAATAAGCATAGGGCCTTCTTCAAGGCACACTGAGTGGGAGGGAGAGGATGGAGCTGTATGTGCAATATTGGGCGGTCTGACCAGTTTCTGCCCACCCTTGGTGCCCTCTCTTGTCCAGA